AATCAAGATATGCATGCACGCTTTTCACCAAACACGCGTGATAGTAATGACTAGTAATGGCATCCGGCCGATGTTCGGTCGGAATTCCGAGATTAGGATTCTGAAAGAACACTTTTGAAGTTCGGTTGGACTTCCGAAAATCGTGTTCTCAAAATATGAATTCGGTCAGATTCCGGCCGAGGAATTCCGAAATTTAGTCGGAATTCTAAATGTTGGAATGTTTAAGAGTCAATTTGGTCCGATTTCGACCGAAATGAAATTTCGTTCGGATGCCATCACTGATAATGACCATAATCGCAGTTTTAAATAATCTGATACAAACGTCACATTAACAATGAAACACAGAAATAGTCAAAAAAAATCATTACAATTATTATGATGTCGTAAATGATTACAACGATCAGAATTTAAGGAGAATTTTCGTTTTTGTTCGATTGAACAGATTGGTTTTTCTCAATTGTTTTCAATTGTATGAGTGTTGACGATTTTCGGTGTTGTTTTTGAGATGAAGAGAAGGGCGATGAAGTGCTTAAGAGGGAACTCTTTTGGGTGCTTTGAGAACGGTTTAGGGTGATGTCTCTGACGAGTAACCGAGATCGCTTCGTGCACAACAGTGAGTCAATCCACGATTGCAGAGTGATGAAGAACTTTCGTCTGCAATGCAAATTACGACTTGACATCGGTTAGAGGAACATTTCATTCGTCAAGATTGACATTTATATTGGTTTATAACTCATATTGTTCTTATTGCTATGAATATTTTTCTAATGACGTTCTACTACAAAAAATCATTAAGATATTGATGTATTGTTTATCGATAAATTACAACTCCATTCAAAACAAAGTTTAGAGTTTACTTTGGAGGATTTTCCAGTCAAACATCTTCAATTTTTTGAAAATTTGTTTTGATATTAGGATTAATATTAATGATGTTAGTATTAATGCACTTATGTTATAATTATTACTTCTCTTGTCAGTATCTTGAATTGAAAAAAATAAGGACAAATAAGGCGATAATAGTAATAATAACGATACCTAAACGAAATGCTTGTCAAACAAAATAGCACAACGTTGAGCATTTTGCCAGTGAGTACGAGAAAATTGGTGATTGATGAGACGGTTGCGAATGCTTGAGTTTTTGCATCGTTGATCAATTTCTCGTAAAGGAACAGCAGGGCAGATGGCATTTGCGTAATGGTAAAACATGAGATAATGGCAACAACCGTGATCGTCATCTTACGCTCTTGTTCATGCACTGACGAGATACCGTTCGTTGAGACACTCGTCGACTTTATCACCAGTTCCTGAACGTTGATTAATGTTGCGCAGATGATGAAACATGAAGTTATAATCGGAATGCAACGATATTATTCATTATTATCGTTTTTGTTAGTAATGTTGTGGCTTCACCTTGCTACTGAACTGAAGCACTGTTCTTGGAGCTGTTTTTGCTTTCTATCATGAGTTCCTGAATTCGCCTATTTTAGTTTGTTAGACATTTGATTGTGAATTCATGAAGATATGGTGTGTTGATCGTGCAGATCAGCTCAAATGGATGGACATTTGAGCTGATTCAACGCGCGACAGTTTNATGTTCGCATAATAGTGTTCAGCTAAACAACAGGATCACTACGATTTTGCATGCTGGATTATTTGATCATTACATCGATATTTTTTTATTACATAATGCGATGATCGTTGGTTTTCGAGAAGAATTTTTTGGGCGAAAACAGGTTTTCTTATGAAACATGTCAAGTGATTGATCGGAAATACCATCGGTGTTATATATCACCACTGCACTGATTATGGTAACCTTCACAGTTATATTTCACTTTATTCTTTATGTTATTGTTATGGCACCAATGCTATTCTTATCAGCTATTCCTCTTGTTTTTAGCATTTATTCTTATTCTTTCCATTTCAGCTTCCTTATTGTTGCAGTTACTTTTGGTGTTTTAACTGTCGTTCCGTTATTGTCACTATCGCTCTCATCACCATTATGATTTATTGCCTATCACGGTCATTATTTTTATCATTATCACGACTCCACCCGCTGGGAGTATACTCGAATATTCACATGACTTTGTTGAAAAATCATATGTTTTTTACCTGAGTATTCCTTTGATGTAGTGATCTGATCAGTGATATATTCAAGACGGCCACCACAAAGACCGGTATAATAACCCCGAGCAGGGCATTCGCTATGGTGCTTAGATTCACGTACGTAATGAATGAGTCGGTCGGAAGCGGTTCATTCGGGAATCCCAACTTGCTGAGGTTCCATATAGCTGGTAGACAGTGCACATGCACTTGAGTCATATTGCAAAGCCAGATCAGAGTACATTTGTACGAGAAGTGATGATAACTGAAAGAATCTGATTTTTAAAAACTGTCTTCCGAGAATGAGATTGGAAATTTTAATTAAGATCTAACGATGGATAGCCGAGGATTCACCTAGATGTGTTTTTGAAAATTTGTTTCGATAGTTTGATGGAATGAAAAATGAGAGAGTTCCTAGGGAAGTTCAAAAATTGAAAATAAAAATTTTCAGTTTTCAAGGGGGGGGGGGAGTCGATGGCGAGAATTTGATCAAATATTTGAGAGGTTATCGCATGAATTTATGATACCTTGTCAAAATCAACGTGGACAAAAATATGCCACCAATGAGCAGAACAGATTCGATTGTCTGAAAAAGAACACTTTATCGATTTAGAAAGTTTTCTTAGGAATTTTTGCATGAATTTCAGATTTTCAAAAAATTTTTTCGTTGAAAAATCAGGCGATCAGATTTGTTCGGTGATTCAAAATTTGAGGTAAACGAGAATTTACTGACATGATAGACTCTCAACGACCGGAATGGGAACTTTATAATTAGTAATCGTTCGATGGAAACTGCAAGAACAATCCTGAAAACATTTGATTCACATTGAGGAGAAGTTCGGAATTTTAAGTTAAGCTCTTTAGTAAAATTTGTTGAAGGAATATCTCTTTTGTGGAAGGATTTTAATCTGATCAATGGGATAATTTGTTGATAATTGCGCATAGAAACTGATTCGATCTCATATTTCAGAGATCATTCACGACAGAATGTTTATAATTTAATCAACTGAAATTATGAGTAGGCTATAGTTAGTCACTTTTTTGTTTTGTTCCTTTGATAGTCAGAACAAAGCCCAGTGACACATAACAGTTTCAATGCTTTATATAAAAATATAAATTAATATCGAAATTTTGGACATTCATAAAACTATTGTTTTGTTGCATTGTCAAAATGCATGAATATGATGTATTATTAATACTTGTGGCATTCATCAGTTGATTCCCTTTAATAGAGCATTAATCAAACAAATGAGTGGACAAACCAAATTGCAGCACACGAAAACCAATTTGCAACAGCGGCCAAATGAATCTTCGATGAACCGAAAATGATTCGAAACGTCATACTTGAGTAAAACGGTGAGAACGCTGCGAAACAGGTCGGGAGCATGAAGAAGAAAACAGCCATATCCGAGAATGCAAGCGCGGCTAGCAAATGATTCGCTCTGAAAAGAGAAATCTGAATTTTTTGGAAACGTCGATGGAACTGGAAGAGAAACGGTTTTTCTTTATAAAGGTACGAATGTTCCAGGAAGAGAATTATTGAACGAGAATTATCAACATATTCCAATATTTCAACGATTCCTCATTTGGAACAGCAGGAATATTCGATGAATTTTCATGATTTCAATAGAATTCTGTCTATTTCCCAGAATTCAGTTCGAGGAAGCCATCATCGATTGCGTTGTTGGATGGTGCTTGATCTACTGAGTGCAGATCAATTGTGTACTTGATCATTCAATATTTTTGCTATACTTCCTGCAGAGTACAATTTCCGTACTGTATCCATACGTCAGCGTTATTTCCGTACCGTATCTCTTGAGTACAACCGGACTTAATGATTATCTCCAGTGTGCTATATTTACACAGTGGTTGTGCTTAAGCCAATGTCGTCATCTATCCTCTGATCAATGGCAACAGTTCAAATGTAAACGAATAGCCAACGTCAATTAGTTTTCATAACGAACATAAGCAATCAATCGGTGTTTGCCTCATCAGAATGCCGTAAACAAGCTCTTATCATTAATCCAAATCGCCTAATTAGTTCGATTGAGTGTACCCTAAGCCCGGGACCTCGAACCCAGCAAATCGTATTTACCATTTATAAAAGTGTACTCTCATCGGAAAGCATTCATCCGCTAAATCATTTAATTTATATGCAATTTCGTTAATGAAACCAAGAGAAAGTTCACAACAGTTGCAACTGAATGTAATTATAACTGATATTAGAAAATAAATTTTTGATGATGACATCATTTAATCAGCAGTAATACGTTTGTTCATGAACCATATGATTGAATTTTTCATATTAATAGCAGTAATGGCACATGTGATGNATACTGATGGTATTTATTACTATTATTACGTTATGATTATTATTATTGTTATTATTATTGTTATTATTATTATTATTATTATTATCATCAATATGTTATTATTATTGTTATTATTATCGTCGTTATGTTGCTTTAATGAGATTATATGGCAGCAGACCTGTTTCGCATATGAGGACTGAGGAGGACGGAAAGTGTCAACGAATTGCCGACGGTAATGACGAGAAACTGCAACGGGAATGCATTCTGAAATTGAATTTATTCATCCTGCAGATGTTGCGTGAGCTGTAGTATAATCAGAGAAGTTGTAACATTTTGACGGCACAGATCACTTGGAGAGTGGAAATGAGGATGAATGGAATACGCTTATCCGATTCGATTCAGTTGCAGAAAGGAGCATCCAGACGAATGACGAGCAAAAATGATTCGTTTGTAACTGAATTGTAAAATTTGATTCACGACAGATGAGTGCATTCATATTAACTAATAATGAATGCAGACAGATGGAAATGCTATGGAACATTTTGATAGCCTCATTTTGCACTTATCCAAAATTGCAAATTGATTGCATTAATATAAATTCGCAATGTTGTTGAGTCTGACTAGTGAGTGTAATTAAAGTTATGGAATTGATATGCATTGAAGTGTGAATTGCATTCATTTCATTCAGTAACAACAACATCGTCAAATGGTGATAACAACCTTCTGAAAATAGTTACGTTCCATGTGTTGTTGTTACGCGATATCATCGAATTTAATCAACAATCGCACAGGACATATCATTAAAATTTTATTCGTTTTTTCATAAATTTAGTCTTTGATCTGGATGTGTNTCGTTATATTCGTTGTTATTACTTTCACAACATTTTGACCAGCAGAATGAGCAGTAATATAATATTTTCAGTTGAGTGATCAGTGATTCAAGCATTGTGCTCTTTGTTGGACTAAGTGACATTTATGGGAATTTTACGCGAATTTTACGGCATATAGAATTGCTGCTGAGAGGAAGAATTCTCTATAGTAAAGTTCTTGCGCATTTATCTTTGTATGATTAGATCCGCTTTTAGCTGCTTTTTATTGTTTTTAGCTAGTCGGAGAGAGGCACTGTTTAATCAGCTTTATGCATTTCTATCCGTTTCAGTCGCACCTCTCTCGGTTTGTTTTCGTCGTATCAACTGGGTGATCAATCGTAATATCACGAAAGCAACACAAACCACCCCATTTATCCGTTCATTGTTCTCGTATTTTTTCATAATCCCCATCAGTCAAATGGACAAGCAGACAGCTTTCGATACCAAGACGTAACGTGATTCTATCGGTTAGTAAAAAGCATCGAGGACAAGGTTGGATATGAATCAAATGATGCGATGTTTTCTTCGCAGTACCTAATTTTTTGATCTTTCTAGCACGCTTAACTGATTTTGCTGCGCCTGAACTGACGATGATCCGTGAAATTGTTGAGATATGTTCATACGTTACTGAATGAGCTGTTTGCTCATGATAAACATAAACCTGTTTATGTCTTCGAAACATTTTTCACTAAAAATTTTTGAGGTAAACAAGACGAAAACATAATAAAATGAAATGAAGTAGAATTCGTATTTAGTTCTGATTGAGTGAATGGAAAAAGAAAATTTCAAAACAATCGATTTAGTGATATTGTTGCTGAAGACTATCTGATTCGTTTGATTTATTACGGTAATTGAGAAAACAAATGCTACTCAAACGTCAAGAACAATGCACGATGAAGTAAACAGATAAATGAATGAATTATGCGTTGCTTACGATTGCAAAATACTGAAGAAACGTATTAACATACTTAAAATGAACCTTGTTCATCTGTGCTTAAAAACAAACACTCAGTGCAGTGCAATTGTTTTTTGAGTGTAATGTTTGCTGTCCGGAAGTGTGTTGTTTATGCTGGGTGCTGCTAACACTATTGCCAAAACACTGTTTGCTTTTCAGTAATTTCCGATGGAATTTCTTCATTCCCACTTGATTTCCTGAATGTTTCCAAGAAAGAAGAGCGTTTTTCAATGAGCACATTCTTGAGTGCTAGTTTACTAAGAATAAACAATTCCAAAGAAATATATTTGAATATTTCTCGGGTCTATTACTTGCTAACAAACAAAGGAACAATTCAAAGAAATGCATTGTTTTATCATGAATATTATGAAGATAGTTTGCATTCTTAAGAACATTTGAATAACTGATTAAGTCTTGAGAAGTTTCTTAATATTAATATCATTACTGCAGTTTTCGAGGAGAGTTTCTCGTGCACAACAGTGACAGACTATGAATACATAATGAATACGCAGTGAATGTACTAAAAATAGATATAATTCAACTATGAACACACAGAAGTATCGTTGCAGATGCGACATTTATATATGTTCATGGCTGAATTAGCTGATATTTGTTGTTTTTACGAAGGATTTGCAATGCAATACAAAAAAAAAAGAGCCCAAGAACGAATCTGCAACAGGAATGAAGGCACTTATCTTCGTGCGTAAATTTACAAATTCATCGCATTTATGTGTATGTATAAATGTGTTACTTAGTATCATCATACCAAGACATTGTCTGCTATTTCAGCTGTTTTTTGAGCAGTGAACTTCAAAAGTTGAGATAGATATAGCAACAGCAAACAAATCTCGAAAACTCATGGTCGATATACATAAATCAAGAGAACAAAATGGGTATTTCTCTCAACGAGCATCGAATTTTTTTAAAACTGTTGCAACTTCTCCCTCAGGGAGTGAACAATTTGTATTTGTTGAAGAATATATGATGATGATGACGGAATGCGATAAAAATGAAATTCTTGTGAGAGCCTAAAAAAGCGAGTGAAATCAAGAGCTTGGAGCAATAAATTTTCACCCAGATGAAGTATATTTCGACTCAGTATTGTTAGAAAAATGAGAGTTTGAAATATCAATCTGCGGAGATCAAAACGAGAGAAAGTGGAGTTGATATTGACATCAAGCGCTGAAGTTTCATTATTTCAGTGTGGTTCTTAACGGAATTTTGGAAGTTTTTGGAAATTTGAAAAAAAAATTTTTCCGAAACAACGGAGTTTCTTTCATTCTGTACACTGTCAACAGAAATTTCGAGAGTCTAATCACTCAAAATCTTGAGAATTTAATAAACTTTTTATGACATTTAGCATATGAAAGCGTGCATCGATAAAGTGCTTGAACTTGAGCTTTCAATATCCCATCTGAGCAAATAATCGAAATCTGTCGAAAATTGAACAAACAAGTAATCTATGATGTTTCATCTAAATCCCTTCATAAGTACTCTTCAAGTTGAGCACTTGCATGACCATTTCGCTCTCTTAACTCATATTCTTGCACATAACCAATCAAATGACTTAATACGAAATGCGAAATAACGGATATGATATTCAAATTCATACAATATATCTCAAAAGATCGCTCTTCTGCTATGATAAGAAGCATGGCAAGAAACAATAAGAAACCAGTTGCACACCTGATAGAGAATATTGTCAGCGGCTGCATTCAGCTGAAGATGTTTCAGGCATTTTTGATTCATTATCAAGTGTGATAATGATTCAATCAAGAAAATTATCAAGCGGTTCGTTGGTTTATATTGTTGTTGTTGTTGTTGTTGTTGTTGTTGTTGTGATCGACTGGAATAGTAATAATAATAATAATGGTGCTGATTGGTATAGCTGCACTTGCGGTTGATACAGCTGGAGTTCGAGTTTGTCTCGATGAAATCGTTGATGATGTTTTTACCACCAGTAGTAGCCGCAGTGCTACTACTCAATGTCGTATATTCAATACTCTGATTAGCAGCAGCAGCAAATGGCCATAACACACCTTGGCCACGCCCTGAAGTAACGACTACTTTTCGCAGTTATCGTATTCAGAGAAGAACTTCAGAGTCTAGCAGATAAATGGAGTCAAGAGATCATCTAGTTATTATGCTTGCAAACAGGATAGTTCACCTTTAGTTCAGTTTGTCAACTTTAATTTCCGGCTCTGATTTATTGCTGTTATTGTCATGATTAGCACTTTATGTTATTATATCACGAAATCGGATCACAACTCACCAATAAATTAAATCAAACATGTCAATCAACCAA